CCCCCCCCCCCCCCCGTTACTTATGACAGCCGAAAGATGCAAAGCAAAGGGAGAAAATCTTGAAGGCTGACAACTGCATTCTAACCATCACTCATTCAAGAAGCTTCTTCAGCTCTGACTGGATCCTTCCATTCCTCACCATCTAGTTAGAGCTGAGAAAGCTTCTTGGATGAGAAGCAAAATGTCTTCAAAGAAAAAACAAAGTCCAGTTGTCGCTTGAAAAAGAATCTCTTGAGCTTGGTTATTTTGTTGCAGACATGTCATTATACAAACTAGGTAACATCATCAGTGACTAGCACTGACCATTAGCATGGATGTAGCATTTGTTATGTAGCATTTTCTCATCACTTTGGGTAATGAAATGCATGTAAGAAAACAACCAAGCTCAGAGACAAAGACCCTTCATTTCCACTCTGATATTTCCACTACTATTTTCCCAACAATCGTGTCAATCTGTGGTAATCCTTGATGGGCTTTTGCTGATTAGGATTGAAATGAGGTTTCAAGTACAGTGTTTGCTTATGGATGAAACATGAGATATGGGAAGAATTTGTTGTATTTTAAGAGAAAATGATGTTACTAAAATTGTTCACACTTCTTGTGATGAAGGGGGGAAGTAATTTCTTTTTTTATTATATTTTTTCTATTTTTCTTTATTATTATTTTTACTTCTTTGTATCTTCTACCTTTACTTATTTTATTTTTATTTTGCATTAGCAATTGTAATTTTTAACACAAATGTATTATTTATAAAAAAAAGAGAGAGAGAGAGTGACCCACAGAACCCACTTTCCAAAGTTTGCAAGGATGGCTCTTCGAGGCAGAATACAAAACTATAGAGCCAGAAGGCACCCCTTTGCCTGAAACGGAGGCACCCCCAATCAAATTAGAATACCGAGATAAAAGATAGCTGCTTCTGTTATCACTCCAGACTTTTAGTTTTGTAAACGACGTTAATTGGTACAGCCACGCTCCAGGCATGAAATGAGAAGTGCTGCAATAATTAGAGATAGTTAATTGGTCAAGCATGGTTTCTTTTCAAGTCGGGATGCTTACTTTGACATTATATCGCAGAGGTTAAGCATAGGTTATCAGAAAATAGTTGGTTCCCCCCCCCACACACACTTTTCATAGAATCCCACGTGACCGTTTGGAGAGCTTGCCTTGCAAAGAAACGCTTGCGCTCTGGTTTCCCGCAGACGAGGAATAGTAATGGTTGTGCTGAAAGGGTGTGGGGTATGTGTGTGTGTGTGAGGGTTGGAGGGAAATAGTCAACAAGAAACTAAACCCGTTTCCTGAGAAGATACACCAATTTCCAATCTCGGGGGACAACCGATCGTCCCCCCTCCTTCTCCTCCTGCCTTTACTATCTCCTTCAGTTCATTCCTCTCCAAGCCCAGCACGTCCCTTCCTGAAGCTTGAAATCCTGTGTGTCCGCCCAACCCCCCCCCCGCTCTTCCCGTCCAGTCCCTCCCGTCCGTCCATGGCCCTACGCTAGCTCGTAGGACCCCGCAGGCTCCGCAAACGCCGGAGAATCCCGCCGATTGGAGCTCTATTCTAAAAGGCGAGCGGATGAGCTCATCCTCAACCAATGGGAGACCACCGCGGACGGCCACAGCCGTACAAGTTGCAGCCTACACCTGATTCCTCGGGCCGTTGCAGCTTTTACCCGGGCTGAGATGGAGACGGGCGCGGGAGGTCCCGTCTACCTCACCTCCGCTCTTACGAGCCTCTCGGGGCCATCAGCTCTTCAAGGTATTGCCGGGACTCGTGGATATCTGTGAGGGCCACGTCCCTTCCTGCACCTTCTGTGGCCACCTGTCTCCCTTGCCGGTCCAGTTGCACGGATTTGCATCATCTCCGGGATGATGCCAGGAACTGCAGCGCAGTTTCCTTGGTAATTTGGACTCGGGGTGGAGTAGGCAGGGCTAGGCGAGGTCAGTTCCTCGTGCCCCTCCCGATGGCGAAGCTCATACAAGGCCGCCGGAGTGCTAAACTTATGCCCGTGATTCTGCAGTGCTAGCAATGGATGCTTCCTTCTAGCGGCGTCTTACTTAAAGCCTTCTGGGATGCCTGCAGGAGGTCAAGCCAGAAGGAATTTCTCCATGAGAGCATCCGTGCCTGCACCGCGGGAACCGAGACCGTGTTACACCTCCATCTTTGTCTGGGGCGTCCCTCATGAAAAGCAACCTTTACCATATTAGACTGGTCTCAAGCCGTTAGCAACTACCGTTTCGTGTCCACCTGACCCCGGTACAGGAATCCAAAGTAGTAGCTGCATTTGCTTCAGCCTCCTTACACCGGTGAGGGATATCATATCTGGACTGAGGCCATTCAGATAACCCCTGGCTGGCAGCAAAGAGTTAAACTTCCTCTTATTTCTTAGGGCTGCTTAGTGGTTGTTTGGGGTTTTCCTATGCCAGTCGTATAGCCCATAATAAGGGGTTGTCCGTTTATTTTTATTGCTACTTTGGGCCATTCAGTCAAGCAAATTTAGGTAGTGTGATTCTTAACCAACCCCACCCAGTAGTCCCGATGTTGCATCCCAGATATCAGATCCTAGTCACTTGCTGCTTCTTTCTCTAAAGCAGCACTGTAGCTTTTAGTTTAGTATCATGGATTGAAAAGTTGATTAACAATGGCCCTTATTACAACAATTCTTTGTAATATTTGCAAATGCTGCAGATTTTAGTTGCATAGAATATCCGAGTTTGATATAATAACAGAGTTGGAATAGCTTTAGATCTGGATTTAATTACTCTTCCTTCTTTTTCCTTACCTTTGGAGGACTTGTTCATTTTGCCCCGACAGCACCGCTGAGTTCAGTTTATAGAAGAAAAGTCCCCTATTTTTTTCAATCTGCAAAAGAGAATCTTTCTTAGAAGATTCCCTTTTGCAAATGTTGCTGTTGTGACATGCAAAGCACCTATGTTGACAGTCATAGGTATGTATATCTGTGGCCTTTCAGAGGTAATTAAGTCACATCATTCCTCATTTGTACCCTGTATGGCTGATGCTCAGAGTAATTGTGCCTTTGTCTCATGCATTGCAGGGTGTGGATGGTGACAATCTCTTGAGAATGGCTACTTCTTAAGGAGAGTGTCCTTAGGATATTTTTTTTGGAAATGGATTCAGAGTCCTGTAACCGAGCTTTCTCCCAGGCCCGCATATATCTTGAACAAATTCGAAGCCGGGTTGCACCAGGGAGTATTGACATACATGGTCCTGGGAAGCGTGACTACCTGGTGGATGCAGCTAAGCAGATCCGCCTGGCTCTGGAACGGGATGTAAGTGAGGACTATGAAGAAGCATTCAACCACTACAAGAACAGTGTGGATGTGCTGCTCAGTGGGGTGCAAGGTAAGATGGAGAATTGAACTATCCTGGAGAAGATGGATTGTACTTGGTGACTTACATGATCATCAAGGGTGTTTTTCTTCTGTTGATTAATCTACATTTTTAGGATAGGTTCCAAGTGACTCATCCAGGCAGATGAATGTTATACTACTTTAAAGCACAAAGTGATCTAGATCAGCGGTCGCCAACCAGTGGGCCACAAGAAAATTTTGGTGGGCCGCAGAGAACTCTCACCCCCAGAGCACACCCCCCCAAAGCAATTAATCCAGGCTGAGCAGAAACACAAGGCTGCCAAGCCCACATGGCTTGCGGGAACCCTCCCCGCCTACTCACTCCTTACCCGGCAAAGTTGTCTGCTAAGTTGCTATTTTTCCTTTTTCCGACCATCATCTGTTCTGCTGTGCCGGGAGATTTAGATTAGCTAGGAAGCAGGAAATGGTTGGATTTCTTGTTTTCTAGCTAAGCACAGTCAAACCTCCCTTAGGACTGAAGGTTTGCTTGCAAGCAAATTCAGTGCAGACTCACACAAGCAATCTGAGAGACTGAGCTAGCCGATGGCAGATAGATAGATTACTGAATGATTCTGTGAGCAACTCAATTTGCCTGCTTTGCCTGATTTTGGGTAAAAGTTGCTCTTTTTTTATAAAAAATTAAATATTTATATAAATATTTATAATATTTACATACAAGCCATGCCCAGCCAGTCACATGACCACCAAGCCACACCCACAAATTAGGCCATGCCCACAGAACCAGTTAGTTGTCCTTGGGATCTAAAATTATGAGTTTGGTGGTCCCTGAGGTCCAAAAGGTTGGCGACCCCTGATCTAGATTGCTCTGGATGGCACTTTGGGGTATTCTAGCTCATAAAATTATAGAAATGAGGAAAATTAAGCAGTACAATAAGAGGAAAATGAGTAGGCATATTGAAAACAAGCATATGTCTAGTCTTCCTATTTGTTAGGAGTTTATTTTGTAAACTCAAGGGGACTTATACAATGCACTCTCCTCCTTTTTTTTTTTTTTTTTTGCACAACAATCCTATGAAGTGGGTTGTGCCGAAACGTTTAGTCCAAAGTCACTCAGGCAACTTTGCTGCTTAAAGAAGGCCTAGAATTCACAGGCTTCTGACATCTAGGCCAGCGCCTTAACCACTACACCATTTAAAGAATTTTGATTGTTTCTCAGTGGGGAAGTGTAATTTGTTGCTGGCTGGTTTTTTTATACTTTATTTATTTTATTCAATTTCTATATCTGCCCAACTCAACCAAGTGACTCTTGGTTATGGAATAGGATATGTAAGTGGCTCAGAATTCAACTTGGCACAAAAGCCAGATAAACAAAGAAGGCCTGAACATAAATTAATGCACATAACTCTTGACAGTGGATCCTAACAAGGAGCGCCGTGAAGCCGTGAAGAGGAAGATCACCCAATATCTAAAGCGGGCAGAGGAAATCTTCAACTGCCACCTACAACGTAATTTGGGGAGTGGCAATTCCACTGAAACGGTGAGAAACTGTAGTTGTAGAGTGTTAAAGGACTCTAGGTAGATCCTTTTGTGTAGAATTCCCCAACCTTTCTGGCTTTGTGGACCAGTGGGGTGGGGGAAGAGGGGATGGTTCTGCATAAGGGGCTGGCAAGTGTGGAAATGTGCGTGCAGCTCCATTTGCGTGAGTGGTGGGCACATATGCTCGGCTGCTGCTTGCGCATCTGGGGGTGCGCATGCCTGCACTTGTCCACCACTTCCATGGCCCTGTTCCAAACCGCTCATGGCCCAGTAATGGGCTGCAGCCCAGGGAATTGGGACCCCTGCTTTAGTGAGTCCAGTGTTGGAAACATTTCTGGATGCAGAGAGGATTAAAGCAGGATTTGTGGAAGAGAACAGGCATGCCTTCAGAATGAAGAGCTTTCTAGCATGAAAAGATGCTAGCCTTGATTTGAAAATCGAAGGGGGTTTAGCTTAAACCACTTGCCAGTTCAGTGCCTCACAGAATAATCTGGTTAAATTGCAGACCCTTTATTCCAACATCCTGCCCAAAGCAAAATTTGTGTACTCTCCCAGACAAATGGTTATCTTACCTTTGCTTAAAAACTTTTCCGCTATGTTTTGAGTGCACCCAGAAGTGTGAGAAAGCAATAGTTTAAAATATTTTAAAATAAAATTAATGTTTAAAAGGTAGATACAGTATTTTAAACCAGGAGGTTGCATGTAGGGCTGGTAGAAATGACTTTTATTTTCTTACTTATATCCCACCTTTATTATTTTTATAAATAACTCAAGGCAGCAAATATATCCATCACACCTTCCTTCTATTTCCTCCACAATATCAACCCTGTGAGATGGGTTGGGCTGAGAGAGAGTGACTGATCCGGGGTCACAGTGGTGGGATTCAATTTTTTTTATTAATGGTTCTGTGGGCGTGGCTTGGTGGGCGTGGCAGGGGATGGATACTGTAAAATCTCCAGTCAGAGGTGGTATTTGCCGGATCTCTGAACTACTCAAAATTTCTGCTACAGAAAATTTATCCAGAACTGGTCAGAACCTGCTGAATACCACCTCTGCGTTGCCCAGCTGGCTTTCATGGTCAAAGTGGGCCTTGAAAACTCAGGAGCTCTTGTCTTCTAGCCTGGTGCCAAAATCACCAGACCAAACCAGCTCTCCCTAATAATTAATGTCACTGTCCTTTTTTTTTTTTTGCTTGTACAATTCCAATCTCTTCTTTATAGATACTTCCAATTTCATTAAATGTTGAATCCTGGACAACACAACACAATATAATATTTCCCTAAATTATTCTGGATTCCTAAATTCAGTTTGGAATGTTTCTATTCATTTCTGTTTTATCAGAATTCTCAGATGTAAACGAACTTCTTACTTGAATTCATGAATATGACTTTTCCCCTTAAACAAACTTTGTTAATACTGGGGCTAGAATTTTTATATTCAGTTATTTTCTCCTACATTTTTAATCCATGATAAGAAGTCAAAAGCTTGCATAGGTGTGCTCACCTTATATTGATTTGTGTGTCTGTGTCACATAACTACGATATTATAAAGAAGTCCTTGAGTTGAGGTTGACTCCTGTTCATGTCATCCATGCAGTTCCCTTGACAACATATAAGCGGCTTGCTGCCACTGCCATCTTCTAACATGCTTTTTCAGACGCTTGAAAAATCAACATTCTGGGATTAAACAAGTATAATGTTTTTGACTCACTTGTTTAATTGGATTCTCTTTGTCTAGTTCTAGGACTTGTGTGAAGAACAGACGTTTTAGGTCGTATTTATGCAGAAATGTTTTAAAAATGTATTTTCTAAACTTTTAAGCACCACTGTAAATTTAAAAAATATAATTGTTAAGAATTTTGATTATAATAATAAAATCTGATATGAACTAAACTTAAAGAAAAAAGAATAGAAAGGATTAAAAAATGCAAGGAAAAAAGAGGAAAAAGAAAAGTAATAATATAATAATTAAAAAAGAAAAATATATAAAGAAGTGACTTCCAACTAAATCAACAGATTTAGTGACTTTACCCCCTCTAAGTTACAAACATTTATTTCTTCACCCCATATCCCATCTCTTACCTATCAACAAATCCATAAAATATCATCTTTTTGGTTCTCCCAAAGGTGTTTGTTCAAGAGGCAACTGGACTTTCTGGTTTTTCTTTTTCTCATCCAAGAAACTTTTTCAGAGCTAGTGAGTCTAGTGAAGAGAAGGACCAGGGGAGACATGATAGCAGTTCCAATATTTGAGGAGCTGCCACAGAGAGGAGGGGGTCAAGCTATTTTCCAAGGCATCCAAAAGCCAGACAAATAATAATGGATGGAAACTGATCAAGGAGAAATTCAACCTAGAAATAAGGAGAAATTTTCTGACAGTGAGAACAATCAACCAGTGGAACAGAAGTTGTCTTGGGAAGTTGTGGGAGCTTCATCACTGGAGGAGTTCAAGAAGAGATTGAACTGCCATTTGTCAGAAATGGTGTAGTGTCTCCTACTTGGGCAGGGGGTTGGACTAGATGACCTACAAGATCCCTTTCAACTCTGTTAATCTTTTTAAAAACCAAAAAGTCTAGTTGCCTATTGAAAAAGCACCTTTGGGACAACCATGATCTGGATGACTGAGAATCTCAATAGACTTTTCAGTTCTTGTGTCTGCAGAAAGTCCATAACGGATTTCCAGAAATAACTACATATCTTGTTTTAACCATATGCCAAGTTTATATTCCTTTTTACTTCTAAAAATTTTAATTCATTCAAATATCATTGATTTCTCTTCATTCCTTCTTTGTCCTATCTCACAGAGTTCTTCAAGGCCTTAACAAGCTTCTTTTGTAAATCCAATAGGAAATAATTACCTAGGTTCCTTTGTTTGTAATTTTCCCCATATATTTTAAAACCTCAGTCAATTTCTTTTGTGGATCCTTTTCTAAGCCATTGTTTTGAACCACTTTTAAATATATTGCTTTGGAGTAAGGTATCATCCCTACTCATAGCATAAAGTTTCACTATATGCTTTTTAAACTGTTAAATTGGGGAGGAATGGAATACTAGAGGTAGAGAAGATGATAGGAAGTTAGTCCTGATGTTAATGGAACCTAATACATGGCCACAGTCTTTTCCATGCAAGTCCTAGAATGTTTTTAACATTATGATTGATCTGTAATATTTGCAGCACATTTGGGCTTGGAAAGGTCAGTAAAGTTTAATTGCTATTAATTGTCTGACTCCATTTTGTACCACTTCAAATGAAGATGTGCTTCCTTATTGGTTGTAGGGTTACAGCAGTCTTCGCTTTCGTCCGATAAGGACGCTCTGCACTCCAGTGGAGAATCTCAAGCACTGTAAAGTAGTGGGAATAATTGATAAGGTAACTCACTTTTTATGCTGGAGATATTTAGCTTCAGACCAGTGATGGGATTCAAATTTTTTTACTACCGTTTCTGTGGGCATGGTGTGGCTTGGTGGCCGTGGTAGGGGAAGGATACTGTAAAATCTCCATTCCCACCCCACTTCAGGGAAAGGATACTGTAAAATCCCCATTCTCTCCCCACCCCACACTAACCTGATTTCCAGCTCTGTTCTCCTGTGCAGGGCAACAAAAGAAGACCCAGCCAATCAGCTGAGAATAGATGGGGGTGGGGCCAGTCAGAGGTGGTATTCCAAACTACTCAAAATTTCCACTACTGGTTCTCCAGAACTGGTCAGAACCTGCTGAAAACCACCTCTGCTTCAGACCATACAAATGTTCCAGAAGAGGAGCTGTAACATGGTTGGGACGGAAGCAGGGATGAATGGTCCTAGAGAACCAATGAGCCGTCCTAGAGAATTATAAAAACTAATCTGCCTATTGTAGCAAATGTCATGTTTTCACACTGGAGCCTCTTTAAAGCAAGCGTTTATCTTTGATGAAGACAGTCTAAGAAATAATCAGCAACTGATCACAGATAGTAAACTCAACATCTGGAACGTGAAGGAATTTTCGTTAGAGATTACCTGTATGTCCAACATAAAAAGCTCAATAAGACCAAGCAATTCTGAAATTGGTTTGAAAAATTGGTTTGAAGAATTAAGAGAAGGATGAGGATGAAATCTAAAGAGTAAGTAATTGGTAGTGTTCTAGGGTCTAAAGGCAGATATGTTAACCCAGTTATTGCACTGTCCACAAAAAAAAATGCTGGTTGTTAAAGGAAAAACTGCAAATAAAGCATACCAAAAATATATCTCCAGTTGATTTCAGGTAGTCCTCAACTTATGAGCTCAGTTGAGCTCAAAATTTCCATTGCTAAGCAAGGTGGTCGTTAAGCCCCATTTTACAACCTTTTTTGCCATGATTAAGCAAATCACTACTGTTGTGAATCATGCGGTTGTTTAATGCATTTAGCTTCCCCCATTGCCTTTGTCAGAAGCTCTCTTGGAAGGTTGCAAATGATAATCTCACAACCTCGGGATGCTGCAACCATTTTAATATATGTTGCTTTCCAAGCACTCAAAGTTTGGTCACGTGACTGGAGGGGGGGGAAATGCAACAGTCATAAGTATGAGAATTTGTCACAAGTCATCTTTTTCAGTGTCATTGTAATGTTAGTCATTCAAAGAATGGTGGTAACAGAACAACCTATACCAACAGATTAATATAAGAACAGGCCCATCCTGAGATGTTGATTTATGTTGTGTTGCTTATAGGTGCAAATAGTGCAGGATCCGGCTACTGGGAACACCTTTATATTGAAGGTATGTGGCGTCCCCTTTTACATGTTCTCTTTTATGGCTCTAGATATGGTATCACTGTGTAAGTAACATTGAATTGTTTTCCCCTGAATCTGTGTTTCTGGGACCATTGCAGAATAGGAGGATACTAAACGTTTTTTAAATGTGACCGTTTGGGCAGCCTGGGTTGTTCTGAGCACTGTGTCTGAACCTTTGGATTTGAAGGTTTTTTTTTTTTTTAATCCAGCAGTGACAGTATGGTAGCAGGAACTAATTGAGGGAGGGTTGAGAATTTGGACCCAATTTATTTAATTTGGGCCTATTTTATTGTCCCATAGCAATTTTGCATTATGCAAAAAAAGCCATTGACATCTCTTGTTCTGAAGGAAATTTTATTTTTTTTAATTTTAATTTGATTTGCCAATCGCTTACAAGATGATAGGTATAAGAATAAACATAGTTATGAATACATGAAATGGGTACATATAAGAAAAATAAAAGAAACAATAGGACAGGGACGGTAGGCATGTTGGTGCGCTTATGCATGCTCCCTACAGACCTCTTAGGAAAGGGGTGAGGTCAATAGTAGACAGTCTAAGGTTAAAGTTTTGGGGGTTTGGGGAAGAAACCACAGAGTCAGAGTATTCCAGACATTGACCACTCTGTTGCTGAAGTCGTATTTCCTGCAATCAAGTTTGGTGCTGTTAACCTTGGGTTTGTATCTATTGTATGCTCTTGTATTGTTATAGTTGAAGCTGAAGTATTCATTGACAGGTAGGACATTGTAATGTATGATTTTATATACTATACTTAGATCAGACCGAAGGCGGTGTAGTTCTCGCTTTTCTAGGTCTAGAATTTCAAGTCTGGTGACATAAGGTATTCTGCAATGAGTAGAGGAGTGGAGAACTCTTCTTGTGAAACATTTCTGGACTTTCTCAACAGTGTTAATATCAGATACGTAATGTGGGTTCCAGACTGATGAGCTGTATTTGAGTATTGGTCTAGCAAATGTTTTGTATGCTCTAGTTACTAGTGTGATATTACCAGAGAAAAAGCTATGTAAGATTAGGTTAACAACTCTAAATGCTTTTTTGGCTATGTAGTTACAGTGGCCTCTAGCAGATTATTTGAGATGAGAATTCCAAGGTCCTTGACAGAGGTTGGATCATCAAAAAGGTCTTGACTATTCAGCTTGTATTTTATTTTCTGATTTTTTTTGCCAACATGTAAGACAGAGCATTTATTTGTTGAGATTTTAAGTTGCCATTTGTTTGACCATTCTGATACATAGTCGAGGTCTTTTTGATTTTTAGATTGGCTTTTTGTCATATCAACAGATATATATTCAACCTTAGTAATAGTATTGATTATATTAACTTAATATGTAAAACCATTCACCTTTAATATTGTTCATTAAAACTCATTGGTGCTGATTTCATATATGGCACCTCTCTTTATCAGGGATTGCTTAATTGGAGGAAAGGGGCAGGAAGGGACATTTCCTGTTTTTCTTCCCCACTTTACGATCTTCTGTTCTTCTGATATTGTCCTGAAAGTTCCTTTAGCTCTCTAGAGCAGTTTTGAAGGGGGAAACGGGAGCTGTGAAGAACAATTCCTCTACAGCAGGCCTGTCAAAGTGGCAGCCCGCAGGCTGGATGCATCAGGCCATGCCCACCCCAGCTCTGCAAAGGCAAAAACCATCCTGATATGTCACGATACATCATGTGACATGATCGAGCTTAACACCTGTGCTCTAGAGCTCACCATGTCATGTTGCTGTCGCGTGACGTTTCGTGATGTTTTTCCAATTTGCGGAGCTGGGGTGGGCATGGCCTACGTGTGATGTATCTGGCCCGTGGGCTGCCAGTTTGACACCCCTGCTCTAGAGTAAGCCAAATTCCTCTAAGTGCTAGATATATCCCTGTGAGAATATGGAAGAGGGCATGTATGTATGTATGTATATACTTGAGTCTTATTTATATGCTGATTGAGATAGTAGACTATATAAAAAGGTTTGTTTATGAGAAGAAAGGTCCATGATTTGTAATATGGGCAGGTAAAGACGGTAATTGTTTGTAATTGCTGCGAAGAAGATTAGAAGTCACTTTTTTATATATAGGTAGTTCTCTGTTTACAACCATAATTGGGACCAGAGTTTCTGTTGCCAAGCAAAGTGATTTTGAAGTGGGTCACACCTGATTTTACAATCTTTTTCGATATGGTTCTTAAGCAAACCACTGCAGTTGTAAAACAGGCGATCGTTAAGCAAATCCAGTTTTCCCCATTATCTTTGTTGAAAGTAGGCTGGGAAAGTTGCATGCAATGATCACATGATCCTGGAACATGCAGTCGTTGTTAATATATGCCAATTGATGAATGCCTGAATTTTGACTGTGGGGATGCTGCAATGGTCATAAGGCACTTTTCGCAATGCCCTTGTAACTTAGTACAGTAGTTAAACAAATAGTTATGATGAGGACTATCTGTACCTTCCTTTTTCTTTTCCTTTTTCTTTTTCATACACCTCTTTCATACAGCAATATGCCTCTGTATATTAATGACTAGCTCAATACTGTGCTTCGCTACGAAACTATGTGGTCGGGCTTAGTTTTTGGGGAGAAAAATAAGGGGCATAAAATTGTGCCTCTGCCAACCAGCATCCATCAGTATTCATCTGGCTAGTGTCCTGTCTGTGTGTGAGAGAGTTGAGGGCTGTTAGGAAACTGAAAGAGTATTTGCTGTGTGAGCAAGGAGACAGCAAAGAGCCTGGATGTGGCGTAGCTCAACTGTTCTGTACTAAAGCTGCTTGGTGCTGTGAAACTGAAACTGAAACTCCTCTGCTTGTGTTTTGCATTTGGAACAGATTTCTTTTCAGGTGGGTAGGGGGAGTAGAACGCCTTAGCATCAGAGCGTGTTAATAATACACGAAATACTAATGCTCTGATGGTCATTTCGAAAAATCCTTTCTTAGTGAGCACCTAGAAGCCAAGAGGAACATACGTGCCAAATTTCAAGTTAGTAGGCTTTACAGTTCTGGAGATTTTGTGATGATGTGTGAGTGGTATTTCGCTTTTATATATAATGACTCAACTGTGGAGGTGGTTAGCATCATCAAGTTTCTGGGTGTGCAGCTGACGAGTAGGTTAGCTTGGTCGCTCAACATTGAGATACTGGTGAAGCAAACAGCAGCGCCTGCATTTTCTGTGTGTCGCATGAGAAAAGTACATCTTCCTTCCCCCGTCCTTACCACTTTCTATAGAGGGATGATTGAGGGCATCCTGTAATATGGCATTACGTCTGATTTGGAAGCTTTACTGTTTCAGACAGGAACATGCGGAGAGTGGTGAGGACAGCAGAAAAAAATATTGTTAGTTCGCTTCCGTCTATCCAGGACATGGCATATAAGCACTGTTTGAACAGAGTCTGCAGAATTGTCAGAGATGCTACACGTCCTCTCCATGATCAGTTTTCCTTGTTACCTTCTGGGAGGAGGCTTCATGGCCTTTGAAGCAGAACATCTAGATTCACAGCTTTGTTCCGTATAGCATCAACCTTGTGAACTCTCAAGTTTGTTTTTTTCTGCTATGTATTCAAAATGGACAGGGATTAATGTGTGTATGTGTGTGTATGTCTGTGTATTCTTTTGAAAGTGGGCAATATAATTTCATTTTTAATATGTGCCAACATGCTTACCAAAAATGACAATAATGGTTATCAATCTTATCTTTTACTTTAACTATTATTCTTCTATAATTTCTTTTTTATTTGTTCTTTTATGCTTTTGAAAATTTTAAAATATTTGTAAAATTTTCTTTTAATGAAAATTACTTTTTAAAAGGAGATAATATATATTAGACAAATTATGAAGGAATTCTGTGGTCTATGTGGAATGGTGCCTTTAAAGGTCAACTTTCATCTATGCTTTTTGAAGAAGAAACAGTAAGAACAAGGATGGACTTTTAACCCCACTGGTAAGCTACTGGCCTCTTCTGGCCCAAGAATATCCTTAGCTTATTTTTTCTGATACTATTTTACTTTTATCAGAGTATCCCCAAATCCTACATGGAGACCCGGGAAAGACAGACCATCATCCCTCATGGAATCCCCTTTATGACAGAATTATTGCGCTATTCTGTAAGTAAGGATTCCATCTTCCTCCACTTGGAACATGTGAAAGGTGAGTATTTATTGCTAGATACTTTGGATTCCTGATTCCCTCTCCCAGACCTGTCTTCTGTAAAAATCCATGCGTGAGAAATATGTCATATCATCTTTTCTGATTAATAAAAAAAATCCCGTCAGGCTGCTTAAATTTTTTTGCTAGCGTAGATGAACAGTTCTCCTCCAATAAATATAAAAGAAGCTATGCAAGAAATTGAACATGGAGAGACCACAAGAAGATCCCATTGACAGCTCAGCCAATAGCAGAAAGCAAGGTTGCAACCCACGTGTAGGAAGATAATTACTTGTTTGTGATTCAGCAAAAAAGAATTCTAGTGAGCCACCTGACCTCTGATTAATAATGGTGGCTGGTATTGGCAAGAATAATAGGCGAAGCTAATAGATATCTGGGGTTGCAGTGTTTCCAACTATTTCTAGCTTTTACTTTTCTCCTTTTTTTACAGGAGGAAACCTCTGGTCATATCTTCGCTCCCATCATGGTTCTGCCTCTGTCCGTTCTCCCTTGCTGAGTCCAAAGCTCACTTTGGATTTTGGGTATATCAGGGAAGAGGAGCACATAGAAAACCTTCATGAAACTGGTTCTGACTCCCAGCAGAGCTGCAAGATCTATCCCAAAAACGGCAAAATTCCTGTATCTGTAAATCGTCCCCTGTTGAAAAAAATGGATTGTTTGATGCCTGTGAAACATTCATCCAGCCACCTTTCTTCTAGAACCTCAAGTGACCACAGATGGCATACTGAAAAGGCAGGTGGACCATGGAAGAAGAATCTAAGCACAACCCATCCCTTTCCTGGTGCTACAGAATCTACAAGCAAAACAGTACCTCAAGAACCTAATCACTCAGGCAGTCAGAGACTGACTTTCAGATCCTGTGATTCATTTATGACAATTTATGGCATTGGAAATGTGTCTGGAAAAGAGACTCTTCAGCTAGAACCAAAGCCACAAACAGGTGAAAGATTTAGCCACACTGCCCTAGAGGTAACAAGAGGATACAACAAATCAAAGGCAGAAAATCCATGGCAAAACCAGTTGTATCCTGGAACTCTTGAAGAGGACAACAGAGAGAAGATAGAAGCAAGAGAAGAAGACACTTTCATGCAGAGGTTACCAACTCTTGATCACAAAGATTTCAAAACCCAATCAACAATAGGATGGCATGAATCTTCAGTGGAACCAGTTGCCCAAAGCCATACCCCTGTCAGTTGGGTCATAAATGAGGAGCAGATCCAAGTTTGGGCAGCTGAATTGATTTTGGCTCTGGAAGGTCTCCACCAACAGGGAATCTTGTGCCAGGATCTCAACCCACGAAATTTGCTTTTAGACGATACTGGTAGGGTTTTTCTTAAGGTAGAACTGAAGGAAAACTTTAGTCCATCGTGTGGGGCAGTGATACGTGATTTTTTTTTAAAGTCACTTTCACTTTTCCTTGAGCTTCATAATATGATGTAAAATAAATATTCTTTCATTATGATATAATATAGTCAAAATATTGGGAGGACGATGCTCTTTAGAGTCATTTGACCCATCTTTGTCTTTTTTTCCTCTGACTTAAAGGGAAACAATGATGGACTGCATGTATCATTGTATATTCAAATGGGGGCTTCAGATGTGCACCTGGGATAAAATAAGTCATTCAATTTAAGAAATGAAAAAGGGTTGCTTGGCTTTGCAGAGCTAATTGTTGTTGTTGACTTTCTTCATAGGTCATCTCCGTCTCACATTCTTTGGCCAGTGGAGTGAGGTTGAGCCACAGTGCAGCAGCCAAGCAGTAGAAGATTTGTATTGTGCTCCAGGTATGGTTAAGGACTGTTGTAACCCTGCCTTCTATATCTGGGGAGGTTCATATGCAAAGTTGTTACCTGGGGGAAGGGGATGAACAATAGTGCAGTGGGAATGCTTTTATAACAGCGGCCCCCAATCTTTTGGGCACCAGGGACCGGTTCTGTGGAGAGAGGTTTTTCCGTGGGCCGGAGGGGGCATAGTTTCGTGTGCTGCCTGCATCCTGCGGATGGGGCTTCACTTGTTTGCATGGTCCAGCTTCTGGCATGCTGCGGCCCAGGGCCGGTTCACGGACCAGGAGTTGGGGACCCCTCTTCATAGGGCTGCTCCAAAAAATATTCAGAACAGCTCTAAAAATATTTAACCTGCTATAAGATGGCTCCCAAAATATTTAAAGGTTTTGACACTGTTGGGTTTTTTTTTTTACATCTCAAGGTTTTAATTTAAGTTGATGTGCTTGGTGGTTTTTGCAGAAGTGGGTGGAATTTCTGAACTGACAGAAGCCTGTGATTGGTGGAGTTTTGGAGCGCTGCTTTATGAATTATTGACTGGAGTGGTAAGTAGCCTGAAGACATTGAATCGATACGTGTAATCTAATCCAGTATTAAAATCACAGAAAAATGACTACCAATAGCACCAGCTAGAAATGTAACTTCAATAGCTCAGTTCTAGGACAAGGTGGGGAGCCTTTTTTTGGACTGTTCTTCCTCCCTGCCTGAGATGTTGGATCTTATTGCTGGATTGGTGGTGGAGTTCTTGAAACTGACTGTTCTGGAGGATTTCAACTTGTCTTCCCTGGAAGGTGGATCATAAGTGGCTCAGGTGTTCATGGTGACGATGGTCCATGACCTTGACCCCAGTCATTCAGAGCCTGGTGCACACTGAGGCCAGTCATTAAGTCTGGTTTGACTAAATAAATAAATTACACGCCAGCAAAACTGCAACACACCTACATAGGGCTGCTTCTGAATCTCTTCTGTATAGCACTGCCTTTGAAGATTGCCCTCTAAAGACAACTGATACAAAATGCAGTGGCCTCCATACCGTCATATCTATAAACACTGCACTGTTTCTCGGTCACTGCAATTCAACTTTAAAATTCAGTTTAGCTTAGGACCAAAGTACCTGTAATATTGCCTCCACATAGAAGCAAATCAACCATTATGGTGATTCAGTTAGTTCAGCTAACCAAACTCCAGTTTTTTGAGACAAAAGGAGGAGTTGCAAAGAGTTTTCATTAGCAGCTCCCGAACCTTGGAATATTCTTTCATGGATTTAGGACAACTTTTTCATTGTGGGCTTCCCAGAAGAGAGTGAAAACGGAATTGTTCTGGAGGGGATTTAATCATTATTGGATGATATCACTATGTAGATAGTAGATATTTATGATAGTTTGATGGACTATGAAGGACATGGTTTGATATTGTGTTTTAAGGTATGTAATATGTTCTATGTGAGGTGGTTCAGTTATGACAGAAGTAGGTTTTAATTAGTGCAGATACTGAATCCCATGAAGTTTTTTACTATTTGAATGTGCACTATTTAGAATTCTAGAATAATTGTATGTAAAATATGGTAATTGGAATTTAGCATTAGAATTGTATGTAAAATATGGTAATTGGTTACAGCTCAATGGAAGTAACAGTGGAAAAAGTGGTAATGAGCCCCGTCTTTTTTGTACTTGTAGTGTTTTTATGTGAAAAAGGACTCCTTTTGCTCATTAAAAGCACTTCTTAAAACAAATGAAAACAAATCGCAAAAATGATAGGCATCAGCATATAAAGTACATGCATACGTGAAGATTAGTACATGCATACATGAAGATAAGTGCAGACTGAAGTACTGTAGCAACGTCTAAAACTAATGCTAGATTAGCACTAATACTCTCAACGGCTCATTTTTATTTTTATTTATTAAATTTTGATGCTGCCCCCATCTCCTCTGTAAGGTGACTCTGGACGGCACATGCACTAACCTTGCATAAACTGAATTTTTGTTTGCATTAAACATGACCTGATATTGTTGTACGATTTGCACTAAACAGAATGTTGCATTATTTAAACTCACGTTAATCATGAACTATGCTTACCAAGCGTACCAAGTGTCTGCACTTGAAACCTACTTACTGCTAGTTGTCAAATTTTGTTAATACATTGTCACCTTTAGTGAGTGCTTCAGTAAAGATATTGTCTTATAAGCAAAGGCAGCTAATAATCTAATTTCTAAATAGCACTTCTTTTTCAGTCTTTATCACAGAATCATCCCTCAGGGATTCATCCATACACCCAGATCTATCTTCCAGAAAAGCTCAGCCAATCTGCTTCATCGCTGCTCTCAGAGGTGAGGTGGCTATTCAAGCAAGGGAAGTGCAAGATTAGCAAGAAAAAATGCTTTGCATGCAGTGCAATTCTGAATTACAATTTATTTATTTTTTTTAGCTGCTGCAGTATGATCCTAAGCAACGTTTGAACTCTGGTGAAAATGGTGCAAGCAAGATTAAGTCACACATTTTTTTCAGTTCGATTCAATGGAATAAGATGGTTGCAAACTAAGTTCTAAATGCAAGGGAAGGTGGAAGAAATATGCTTGGTGGACCAAATAGAACCAAGTTGAGTAGTTCATCTGTCGAATTGTGCTCCAGATGATCCACGTCCATTGAAAAGCACTTGCTCCTATAAGCTGAATGAATCTGAGACACTGGCACTTGCTGTCACTTAGGGAAGAAACCACACAATTTGGCTGGGAACTCCATGCTCAAAAGAACACATCTGCTCTTTTCTTTTTCCTACTTGTGTGCCAGCAGCAGTGTCATAAAAATCATAGGCACTTCAAGTTTCCTGTAAGGCAGTGATGACCAATTTGGATCCCTAAAGATGTCCAATGTAACCCAAATAGAAACTGAAGTCAAGCATCCTTGCAAGTTCTGGTACTTCAAAGACAAAATCTGATGTGCCTTCACAATAGTATAAGTAAGGTCTTCTTGTTTTATCCTACTTGATAGATTCCTCCCCCCAAACCAAATATGAGTAGGAGATAAACTTTCTACTGTATTTTCTCTTTCCATATCTCATGTTTAGTTCAACTTTCAGAGGATTCTCTTAACTTTGTCTTGCATATATTCGCCCTATAAAATTTTCATATTTTTCACCCCATTTTTTATTTGAAGCATGTTACAACTTTACAGGTTGGTTATGCATTTTCATGAATGTACCACTAGATGGATATTTTCAGTAACTTTTATGTGCCATGTATTTCCCCTTCAAAAATGTGACTTCTTTATAGATCTGACACCACCTTTTACCTGGCAAGAAAATGAGCAAAAGACTACTCTTTGGACTTCTGTGGATTATCCCTTGTTTTGTCTCTTAACTATTGTAACATCAATAAAACAACTGGAGCACAAGGACTTGTGTGAATCTTTAGAAATGTTGCCACCTGCCACAAATAAGGTTTTCAAGCAAGGCCTAGGCTGGGCAGTACCAGAAAAGCCACATTGATGCTACAGTTCTAGCAGTGCTCTTTGTCCAAGGAATGGCTAGTTTTGGCACATGTATGAAAGTGGTCATGCTGACCAGGCCCCAGGTACATAGCATACACGAATGTTGAATGGACATTTATACTTCATTTGAATCAAGGGAAAAATCTTCTTCCTCAGAAAATGGAAAGAAGTTCTGGTTAATCTTAGAAAATATTTTTGCAATATGATTGATTCACTTAATACTTAATACGAAGTGAATTTGGATACAGTACATGCTAAATAGTGCCTAGAGAAGGTGGCACCTTATTTTTCTAATCATTACATTTTTCTTCATGCACATATATAGTTCTTTAATATGAATCTGTAAATGATACTAACAGTGACTTGTTGGACCAGTAGCTGAGGGTCAGCACACGTAAGTCAAACACATTACAGTTTATTTGTTCGTGTAAAACAGAACACACTAATTAGGTCATATTTAAATCCTTTGGGGAAAAACCAAATCTGGTCTCAAGCCCAACAAGTCAATGGCTTACAGCTCATGAAAACCCCAAATCCACAATCTCAGAAAATTAGAATATTGTGAAAAGGTTCAATATTCTAGGCTCAAAGTGTCCCACTCTAATCAGCTAATTAAGCCATAACACCTGCAAAGGGTTCCTGAGCCTTTAAATGGTCTCTCAGTCTAGTTCAGTAGGAATCACAATCATGGGAAAGACTGCTGACCTGACAGTTGTGCAGAAAACCATCCTTGACACCCTCCATAAGAAGGGAAAGCCTCAAAAGGTAATTGCAAAAGAAGTTCGCTGTTCCCAAAGTGTTGTATCAAAGCACATTAATAGGTTATGTGGAAGGGAAAAGTGGAAGAAAAAGGTGCACAAGCAGCAGGGATGACCGCAGCCTGGAGAGGATTGTCAGGAAAAGGCCATTCAAGTGTTGGGGACTTTCACGAGTAGACTGAGCCTAGAGTCAGTGCATCAAGAGCCACCACACACAGACGGATCCTGGACATGGGCTTCAAATGTCGTATTCCTCGTCAAGCTGCTACTTAACAACAAACGTCAGAAGCGTCTTACCTGGGCTAAAGAAAAATAGAACTAGTCTGTTGCTCAGTGGTCCAAAGTCATTTTTTTCTGATGAGAGCAACTTTTGCATCTCATTTGGAAACCAAGGTCCCAGAGTCTGGAGGAAGAATGGAGAGGCACACACTGCAAGATGCTTGAAGTCCAGTGTGGAGTTTCCAGAGTCTCTGTTGATTTGGGGAGCCATGTCATCTGCTGGTGTTGGTCCACTGTGCTTCATTAAGTCCAGGGTCAATGCAGCCGTCTACTAGGAGATTTTGGAGCACTTCATGCTTCCTTCTGCAGACGAGCTTTATGGGGATGCTGACTTCATTTTCCAGCAGGACTTGGCACCTGCCCACACTGCCAAAAGCACTAAAACCTGGTTCAATGACTGTGGGATTACTGTGCTTTATTGACCAGCAAACTCGTCTGACCTGAACCCCATAATCTATGGGGCATTGCCAAGAGAAAGATGAGAGACATGAGACCGAACAATGCAGAAGAGCTGAAGGCTGCTATTGAAGTATCCTGGTCTTCCATAATACCTCAGCAGTGCCACAGGCTGATAGCTTCCATGCAATGCTGTATTGAGGCAGTAATTGCTGCAAAGGGGGCCCAAACCAAATACTGAGTACATATGCATGCTTATACTTGTCAGAGGTCCGATATTGTTCGATGTACAATCTTTGTTTTATTGATTGCATGTAATATTCTAATTTTCTGAGATTGTGGATTTGGGGTTTTCATGAGCTGTAAGCCATCATCATCACAATAATGACAAATCATAGCTTGAACTATCTTGCTTTGCATGTAATGAGTCTATCTCATATATTAGTTTCACCTTTTAAGCTGCATTACTGAAATAAATGAACTTTTGCACTATATTCTAATTTTTTGAGCTTCACCTGTATACTCAGTTATTTTACTTCTGTGAAATTTCAATAGCTGAAGATTTCTCATTTAATTAGCTCATCTGGTTATATTTTAGAGCGAGTGCAGTAACAATTCTCAAGAGCTCCCTGTGAAACATTTCATTTCCCTTCTATGAAAGGCTGGAAAAACTTTTCTAATCATCAAAGTGATAATCAGAAACAACACTCATGCATAATTTCTTTCTTTTATTTTGTTTTAAAATCTGTTGTTAAATATTTTAATTACAAGTTCTGTGCAGTGGGCAAGAGTAGTAAACCCTGCAGGCACTAGCAACCCCCTTACTCAACAATACATGTGCACACTATCGTACTAAGGATATGTCCCCATGAACCAGCAGTCATTTTATGTCAGGATATAGGCCAGAGACACTCTACTCCCAACTCACAATACCACACAATCAGGCCAAACCACTGTAGACGTAGCTGAAGAAGTCAATCAAGGAGAATTGGATGGAATTTAGGACAGTTGTGGAGATTACCCAGTTTGAACTGGTCCCAATTGTAAGAAGGGACACCAATTCTGCCTTATTCAAGTTTTAAAAGTAGCTCTTACGTTTTCCCAATCTGAGTTATACTATGATCATGTTTTTAAAGAACCGGGGCAAAGAAAAATTATTGAAAGTCATCCTTAAGTTGCCTGATGCTAATACAGGCTATAAAAAGTTCTTTGGGTTATGGTCTTACCATCAGAAGTGCCTGTAAAAGCCAAAAAAAAAAAAAAAAAATGGGTGGGAGGGGGTACAATAAATATATTTTTATTATGGAGGTGGTAAGACCAGGCACTGTGTAAAGAATAATGGTAGACAACTGGTCCCCCAACCCCACCCGTTAACTTTGCAAAATATAAGTCATCATGTTAAAACAGAGACCCAGCAGCGATTTATCTCTTTTCTGGCATCTTGCTCCAGAGAATGAATTAAAGCTGAAATTTTGTGCAAGACCAGGTTGGGAGGGAAACTCTAGCCAAGAAGCAAGAAGTTTCTCCTCCTGCAATAACCTTCAGGAATGAGGCAAGGTTAGACCTAATTGGATTGGACGAGGTGGGTAGGAAGGATAGGTTATACATGAATAGACCAGGACAGCCTTTGATTTATTCTGGGAATAAAGTCAACTCTTCTGAAGAGAGCGTATCTCTTAAATTTCCTTTTAAAACACCTCTTGCAACTAGGGAAGAAAAGACTGGAATGAAGCCCTGCTGATTCCTCAGTGTCCTCTGTTTTATCTGCTGGTGCTGTATCCTTGGTCTACTGGATGGGGTGAGATAGGATGTGCTGTAACCCTTTATAGGTCAAGCAGCAGAACTCGAGGATCTTCTACCACAGCCTTGATCTTGCGCAGGAAAGTCACTGCCTCCCTCCCATCAATCAACCGGTGATCATAGGTCAGCGCCACAAACATCATTGGTCGCACCTCAACCTAAATTAAGAGAAGTCTCACTGTTAAATTGAACATCATCTTAGGCAGTTATTCTCTGCCTCAATTTATTTCACTTACTGTACTTTCTCTACACTACCCAAAAACGTCAAGTGCCCTATGAATCAGCTCCCTTCCCAAAAGTTTGTTTAGCCCTTTAAGAAAATCTCAAAGATCTGATTCTTCTCCCAGGCACTTGGTACTTGGGGAAAGAATCAGGTCTTTTTAATTCTTAATTCTTTGTAATTAGATGAGTTTTGTAACTTGCTCCCAAGGCACTGCTTCATCATTTTTCCTTTGCTTTTTTTTTTTTTTAGCTCTTAGTAAATAATCCCTGTTTTTTAATCCTTACCTGAATTGCCTGGTAAGTAGAGGACTATATAAGCTGAATAAATGTATCTCTGACTTCTTGGCAAAGAATTTGAGGTATTAGACCCAAATCCTTTTAAAATCACTTATAGCTCAAAAGAATTATCTGAACACTGGTTTTGTTTTCTGAAATAAGTCACAAAAGTCCAGGTTTACAGTTATGATGTCTTTTATACTGTTTGATTAAAGCTAACCAATTTTTCCCTTCCTCTCAACTAAATAATCTTATCAACATTAACATAACCAAATAGGATGTGCTTTTCTATGAGCAGCATTGAGGAGTTTGATATTCATTTAGATGGCCACTTAAGAAACCTCTGCTGAAAAGAGCTACGTAAGAGCTAATCATGGGAAAGTGGTTTTCAGTGACTCGAGTAATGTTAAGAGATCCCCTTAAAATTTCAGTATCATCTCCACGGAGCCTACCTTGCCTCCAATAGCAACAGGCCTGTCAAAGATGCCATGCATGCCCAAGATAGCAGACTGAGGAGGGTTGATGATGGGTGTTCCAAAAAGAGATCCAAATACTCCACCGTTGCTGATGGTGAATGTACCACCATCCATATCCTCAATGGCAAGCTCATTCTTGCGAGCCTGAAATGAGATTAAAAAAATGACCACAAATGACTTATGCTGGAATATTAAAAAGAAAATCAGAAAACAATAGTATCTGGGTGTCAACTCTCAGCAGAACAAACATGGACATTACAAATACGAGCCCTTATCAGAGCAAAGGCAATAATGTGTTCCTGTCCTGCCTCGATCACTAGTAAAAGATTGCTTTCACAATTCTCTGCCTCTGTGAACTTTGAAGGGACTGCTATGTATTCAGAAACAACAAGAAGTTCAGAAAACCCCTACTTAGGTTCTGCAAGCTAAGCTGTATGAAGAATAGTGGCAGCTCTGGAGCCATTTCCCTTGGCGCCTTCAGGGCTGCCACAGCAGTGGCTGGGCAAGCTGTGGGAATGGGAGGTAGAGAGAGCAAGGGCTTTGTAACCAAAATAAGATTCTTTCCTCTGAGAACCAAGAATGTTCCCACCAGGTGTGAGGGGGCAGGACGTGAATCTGGACTAACTTTGGACTGTGACCTGATTGGGCCATGTGATGGTTGCTGGGGGCAGGAGGAAAAAAAATTTATTTTTAACTA